ATATTTATTTATTTCTATTAGTATTATAATATTGTTATATGAAAAAAAAAGAAATTTAGTAAAACTTAATAAATGATGAGTAAATATTAAATTATTATTATTATTATTATTATTATTTCTTCTACTGTCATAAAATATTTATTTTCTAATAACTGGCTACATTAAGCATATAAAAGGAGAAATTATTTTAATTATAACTTATTGTTTAAATATAAAATATTTTGTAGAGTTTTTAAAATGTGTTATGTCATTTACTACTAATACGAAATTACTCGTGCTCAACTTTTTTTTCTTTTTTTTTTTGTAATTAAAAAGATTATTAAATCAATTATAAAAAACATAAGTTATTGGCTTCAGTACTATCTCTTGTTTAAACTTTTATTTTTTTAATATTTTATATGAGTCGATATTAATTATTTACTTTAATTTTTTAAATGTAAAGTGTTAATCGTAGATTATTATTATAATGAAACTTTTTATTTTAACATTATTAAAGTTTGCCACATGAAATTAAAAGATATTTGTTTCCTCTTAAAAATAAATTACTTTTTGTGTTAAATAAATAATTAAATAAAAAACTTTATTAAAGATTATAATAAATGGATTTTTTTCCATTTTCATATCTATATAGAATTTGATATAATATAATTAAAAATCATTATTTTATATGATATACATTCTAATATAATGTTATCCACAACATACCTCTTATGTTTCTTTTAGAAATGACTCGGTAAGAATATGCATGATTTTTTTCTAATGAAATTATTAAATAATAATTAAAAATATATATTAAACTAATATCTTTTTCTTATAGTACTACTCAAACCATCAATAACAAATATAAATAACAAATTAATATATCTAATAAATAAATAATTTCGATAAGTTAAAAAACAATAATTATAATTTATAAATGGTACAACCAATGATAGTATAACCAATGATAAATTGAAGACACCTCAAACATTACCAATATTTAACTATAAACATTTAATCATAACTTGATAACAATAATGATAAAATTTCAAAAATAAAAATATATTTTATATTTTATGATTACTACAAAAAATAAAATTTATTATGTATGAAAATTAAAAATTTTAATTTTGATAGAATTTTGTTTGCTTACATGTATTGATTAAAATTATTTGAAATCTAACAATTAACACAAAAAAAGTAACTAAAAATAAAATAACAACTATATTGTGAAAAATAAAAAAGATGAACTAATATAATATCAAACAATAGCTTTAATATGGAACTTGTAAAATAACATGTGGGCAAAACTATACTTTTCTAATTTCTTGTATAAATTTACTTAACCTAATGTAATTCATATGAAAAATCATTAAATATAAAAACATAAAAATTAATATAAAATAATATAACATGGATTTTATAAGAAACTAAGAAATAATATAAAAACCTTTTAACCCTTTTCAAAATTCATCTATAGAAAAGGAACATGTTATTAATAGTTTTTTAGAAGAAAAGGTAATAATAACAGATTAAAGAATAAAAATTATTCCTTTAACTTTAAGAACAAAAAGTTCTTAAACGATGAAAATAAATAAAGCTGAAAAATTAAAGAGGTTAAAGCATTAATTTTATAAGAAACCAAAAAAATAAATTAAAACATTTAATCTTTTTTACCTTTATATTCATAGAAATGAATGCATTGTTGATAGTCCTATTAGGAAAATATATTCATACAAAAGCTATAAGCATAATTATTTAAATTAAAATCCTAAAAATTACTCTAAAAATCTTTAAAATTAAAATTAAAATTAAAATAATAAATAATAAAATTTTTAAGAAACCAAAAAATTATTTAATATCTTTAACCTTTCTCACCATTTCATTCATAAAAAGGTCAAACCCTAAAAATCACTCTTAAAATTTTAAAAATAAAATAAAATAAAAATGAATTTTATAAAGAACATAAAAATAAATTAAAAATTCTTAACATTTCTTACCTTTCATTCATAAAAAGAATTGGATTGTTGATAATTAAGTTTTGGAGAAAGATAAAAACAATAAAAAAGAAATTAAATAATAAAATATTTAAATTGAAAATGGAAAAAAATAAAAAGATTAAAATAAATAAGATTAAAAATTTAAGAGATTAAGATATAGATTTTAAAAGAACAAAAATAAAACTTACACTATTAATTTTTAGATTAAAAATATTAAAATAAATATTTAGTTTGTAAATATATTTGTCATAAAAAAAAGCAATTTAACTCAGGCATTATCATGAGCTTAAGAAAAATTAAAATAAAATTAACAAAGAAATAATTAATTTAAAAATCATAATATTTTTAAATAAATCAAATCATAACCACAATGAAAAACTTCGGAACCAACAAAATAATAAGAGTATCATAAAAATGATAAATAATATATATCAAAGAAGTAACTATAACAATTTAAAATTTATGTCGCAATTTATATACATTAACTAACTTTAAAACTCTTAGTTATTAAAGAAGTAAGTATAACAATTTGAGGTTTGTTTCCAAAACTAAATGCTTCTTTTCAAATTTAAGAAACAAACTTGTACCACAAAAGTTTATAAATTTTCGACTAAAGAACTAAAAAAGAAATTATTAAAATGACATTTACTTCCAATAATAATAAAACGTTGCTTTTTAAAACAAATCATCACTTTTATAATATTACTAATATAGAAAATATTTTAAAAAAATACCTTAAATCTTGAAGGCATAACATTGTGAAATTTACAAACTCACCCCTAATAGTTTGACAATGAGACAAATATATGACAACAATAACACCAATAATATCAAATTAAAAAATTAAAATAAAAACTATTTTAAAAAAAAAACACAAAAACTCAAAATCTATAATAAATTATAAAAAAATGAAACTATTAAGCACTTAACTGAACACTCATCAAAATAATCATAAGCCATGAACACAAAAGAAACATATCATGGAATATTTAAACTTTCATCAACCGTCTCTTTGATGACGACATTATTAAGAAAAAAAAACATATCATTAGCAATAATTACCTAATAATCACATTTATTTTTTACAATAAAATTTTTTTTGATATAATATAAACCCGTTAATGAATCTTATTCTTTAATCGATATACATTGCGACTCTAAAGAACATTCTGAATATAGAATTTCTATGAAGTACAAAAACAATAAAATAAATAAAAATGAAAATAATAACAAAAATATTATAAAAATAAATTTATTTATGTACATTTTACCAAGCAATATCATTTTTGTGCTAATACTTTGTTTAGTCTTATAATTATAAATATATCACATTCTATAAACACAAAATTTGATCATATAAATATATTTCAAAAGTCAATTTAGCAATCTTGACGTATTCCAATTGGCTAAAAGACAAACTTGGAATGAAAAAAAATCATAATCATGACAAAAAATAAAAAATAATAAAAATGCAAATACTAAAAAATTACATCAATTAGTTAAAAATTTTAAAATGCCATATAAAAAAAAATCATAGATCATGATTAAAAAAATGAAAAATATAAAAAAATACAACAAAAAAAAACCCTCATAATTGGGAAAAGAAAATGTAATACAAATATAAAATATATTTATATAACCAAAAAACATAAACGTCAGAAAATAAAAAATTTTAATAAATTTTAATAAGTAATAACTTTAAAGAACATGAATAGAAGAAAATAAAAAATAAAAAAAAATATAAATATTAGACAACCGAAAATCTATTTTGTTTTATGTAATAAAATTAGGAGATATAAAATTAGAATTTATGTGTAAAAGACTTAACATTTATTACAAAATATTTGAGTTTTATATATTTATATGATTTTCAATTTCATTCTTCATATATAAGAATTAATGTTTTAGTATAAAAAAATAATTAATGTTTTTGTATTATTCAAAAACATAGAGAAGGATAACGGATTTGAGGATGAATAATTCAGAAAGACATGCATAATTTTTTTATAAAAATTTTAGCTTGAATAAATAATTTTGGTGGAATGAACTTGTAAGAAAGAAAAAAAAAACAATTAATTAATATTTTGCCATGAATGTATGCTAAATGTTTTTTTTTTTTTTTTGACAAATATGCTAAATATTATGGATTCAATAATTAAAAGATTCGAATTTAAACTTAATTCAAATGGTTAATCCAATAAAGTTGAGGTTCGCTCTTTAATATTTGTAAATTTTTCTTTGTAACAACAAAATTAAAAGATGTCAACTTAGTTTATGGAATTACATAAAATAAAAGAAAATTTTCATTTATATTTGCGTAATTTTTATATTTTTTCAACATTTAAATCAAAATTAAATTTATAATTCATTTAAATTAAAATAATATTTTTAAATTTAATAATTTTCATAAAAAATAAAAAATGAAAAATTACATTAATATAAGTAGATTTTTATTCAAAATAAAAAATATAAATATAAAATAAATATAATTTTGTTTTGTCTTGGATCGCATTTAAATTCTCTTTTAGATTTAAAATTTTAAAAAATTCAAATGTAGTTGTCAAGAGAAATTTCCATTTTTTTTTTTATCATTTACCACTTCTTTTCCTTCTGTCCAGTGGGCATGAAAAAGAAAAAAAATCAGTTAACAATTTTCCATGCATATAACTAAAGTAATAAAAAATTGCACATATAATTTCTCTAATTTCTATATCAAATTTAGATATTTTGGAATAAAATATTGTGAAAAAAAATAATTTTTGGTGTTACAAAAAATTCTATATCAATCTAAAATTAATACTACTATATATTTTTTATATATCAATAAACTTAAAAAAAAAAAGATATTAGTACCAAAAAATAAGAGTAGCCCATTCAACTAGACATGCTTATGGATCGACTTGCGTTGGATTTTGGACAAGAATTTTCAAATCCAATAGAAAATTATTTTTTATTGATTTAATTTTCAAATATTGGTATAAAATGTTATTAACATTTTAATAAAAAACGGAGGACGTGAGAAACAAAGACTCATAGCTTACTTCCTTAAGAAGCCTCTATAAATTGAATATTTCTATTTTATTAATTAGGATACATAAAATCTTTAACACTTCTTTTTCCCATTTACGCTGTAGCTGAAGATATTTCTTTGTAACGAAAAAAAAAAAAAAAGAAGATTTTTCTTTGCTAATTAATTTGTTTTGGGACTAGGGTTTTGGTCAGTTATGAGTATTTCCTTCTTTTTTTTAGAATGAATTTTTTTGTGAAATTATGAGGAGAATTGTGAAGAAAGAAAAACAAGCAGATAAAGCCGATGAAGAAGGTGAACCGGTTCGAACCAGGGTGGCGAGAGAGCCCCGAGATGACTCGGCATATGTTGAGTCGGATCAGCTGACTCGGCAAGAGGATGCCGCAAAACGGAGGGTTCTTCGCTCCAAATATCTTGCCGTCATGACCAAAATCAACGGTTGTTTCTCTATTTCTTCTTCTTTATTATCTAAAAAAGATACCGCTTTTTTTTTTTATACAAATTATTTATATTTCATTTTGCTTTTCAGTTTTTAATTAAATTTTGGGTGATGCAGGTGCAAGGGATGAGATATCGAGTGTGGATTCTAATAAATTTAACATCATCATTAATGAAGTCGACAACTTGCATCAACAGGGTTTTCCTTTTCCTTTTCCTTTTCTTTAATTTTTTAGAGAATTTATTTTCATTTATTTGTATGCCTTTTTTTTTTTTAATTCTTAAATAACTGTTATAGACTGTAATTTTTCAACGTTTTGTTTTAATAATTTTATTTCTTCTTCTTTTTGGTCCTTTTAAGTTTAATAATCTGTCATATTTCTTTATAACTTACTAAGGAAGTGAAGTCCATTAATTTATGATATTCTTCATTTGGGATTTTCAAGATTTCAATTTAATTAACTTAATAGTCTTGGTTTTTTCTTTTTTTTTTTTTTTCCCAAAAAATTTGGAAGATTTTAGTTTGGAAAATGTGTTATAAATTGACTCATTTTGTGTATGCAAACTTATTGTATTTTAATTAATTTGGGTGTTTCTCTTTTTGGGTTTTAGTGTCCAAGCCGCGGGAACAAGTAGCTGATGCAGAGGCATTGTTGGACTTGGCTAACACATTGTCAACTTCTGTTAAGTCAATCTCTTTTGAGGGAATTAGCCCGGCAGACTTTGTCAATTGTTTAGTCAGCGAGTTTGGGAAATCCAAAAGGAGCCTTGACACACAAGAAAATGAACAGATATTGGTCAATTGGAAAGATGTTGGCATGGCAGTTTCACCATTCTTTAGAACCTGCAAAGGAATTTGCACCATGTTAGTTATTTTATGTATACCATTTTGAGTTCTCTTTTTTGTCTTTAAGGAGCTGGGGCTTGCTGTGTTGTTACTTAATACCTTTTTTTTCTTTTGTGTTATTGATCTTTAGGCTTGGACCTATGAAGAATGAGTTAAAGCAAAGGAAGTGTATGGTTACTAGAAGGCATGCTGTCAGACCAACTGATACTGCTCGGCCTGAAGAGGTGAGATTGCCTTTTCTCTAGTCTTAAGTTTTTAAGCATCATTTATGGGTGTGAAAACAAAACTGAGAAAATTGAATAATCAAGCAAACCAATGTGTTTATTCTGGTTTGGTTTTCTGGCTTCTGAGTTCAATTTTAGCTTAAATAATGATAAAACTATTCAGTTCACTTTACAGTTCCGATGTTTAAAAACTGAAATGATTCAAACCAAACCTAATCAACTTGAATTTTATTAATTTAAAATAGTTTATGAGACAAAAATACTAGCATTTGTTCTTAGTCTAACTAGTTAAATTCAGAAAAGATCTTTGCAAAATTAAACTAGTTTTAAGTATAAAAAACTGAGTAATTGAACTGAACTTATTTAGTGTTGTTTGGGTTATACTATTTGGTTTGATTTTTTTTTCTTCATTTAGCATTCCAATACTTCCACTCAATGTAAAAATTTCTCAAAACTGAGCTAAATTGAACTGAATACCTTAATAGTTAAGAGAACAAGAATCAGATGGTGTTTATGTTGGTGTGAGTCACTTGGTACCAGCCATATGTCATGGAGTCATTGTATTTTTCAGGTATTCATACAAGATATTTTTAGGTTCACAATCATTACTTTGTGAAATTTCTTCTCTTGTGATTATTTCCGTGAGAAAGTGCAAACTTGCTTTTCTTAGTTAATTTTCTATTAACCGTTGCTTACTGATGTTGATGTAAGTAAATGAAAGTTCCAGTTGGCAACTCCCTATCCAGAACTTTTATCCTGATGTGTATTGGTTTATGTTGTGTGGTTGAACCTTATACTTTGGGGTGGTTGTAATGAAAAAAATCATTGCATAAATGGTTGTACCATAAGCTTAACTATCATAAAATTGTATTTTATCTATCTGCTCTTTTAACAATCATTATTCACACAGATTTATTTTCTTGTTCAACAGGTTAATAATATCGGTGCTGATGAGCAAACTGATACTGACAAAAATATGGCAGTTATGTTTGAAATCTTAAGGAGAAGAAGACGAGTGAAACTTGAAAGTTTGATTTTGAATAGAAGCTCTTTTGCACAGACCGTGGAGAATTTATTTGCTCTTTCATTCTTAGTCAAAGATGGGAGAGCAGAAATAGTTCTGGATGAATCTGGTTCTCATATTGTTTGTGAGTATATTTCAAGACAATTAATTTACAACTTAACAGGAACTTTACTTTGTGTTAAACAATGATTATGTTATTGTCTCATTTATGGTTTTGTTTCAGCACCCAAAAATGCTCCTAGTGCTGTGTCTGTAACAAAAGGCGAGGTTGCTTACAGCCATTTTATATTCAGGTTTGATTTTAAGGACTGGAAGGTATGGAATTGCTCTGTTGCATCAAACTTTAGATATTGCAAATACTGAAGAGTGTTACGGCCTATGCTTTTGCTTGTATCAGTATGTCAACCTGTGTTGCTCACTTGTGCAAACCATTATAGTCTTTGTGTAGCTTTTTTTAGATTAATTTGTTTCTTTCTAATACCCAATTTGAATGAACTGGCTTTTAGTTAATGATGAATGTGATACCTGTTGGTGAGGAGCTAGTGCCACATAGGGAAGGTTCTACAGAATAATGTAGGGTTCTCTTTGATTTTCTTTATGATTAATGGTGAAATAGTCTGTTGATCAAACTTTATATTAGTTGCTTGATTTAACAACGAACAATTTAACTATTTAGCACAGTTTAGGCTAATTTGTTTTAGCTTCTAATTTGAGTTTTTGAATGAATGGGATTTTAGTTAATAGTGAACGTGGTGCCAATTGGAGAGGAGTTGATGCCTCACAGGGAAGATTAACACTCAATTCTTTCCCAGGCAGAATCAGCCGCAAACAAATTCAGAAGGGTTTCTAACTACATCACCAATCCTAAACTTATCCGGGAACCAAGGGTTGGTTCTGCAAGAATCCAACTCGCCTGAAACTGATGTTGCTAGCCAAGGCCCCCGGTAGGTTTAGGCGGAAGCTCAATTGACCGGGTAGCTCTATTTTTTTTTTTTTTTTTTGAGAACACATCATGCACAACTATTTTGAATGTTGTGACCTACATAGGTGTAGGTCCATCCCATATTGGCAACTGTTGATTTTTTTGTAGTATATTCCTCTGGCTATGGGGGCTGTCGGCAACTTTTGCTGATCTATTTACTAACTTGGGGCAGAATCACTTTTGGTTTATAGATATGTGAGTGAATTTTTTCTAATGTGGACAAATTTATTTGATTAATGTACTTCACCCGTGCATTTGACTTACCAGCTTCTGCAAGTTTTTTGTTACCATAATTTTAATCCTTTGAGTACCTTATTGTCTTTTTTTCTTTTTTTTCTCGTTTGAGAATTTTAAGTTAACCAATTTTACTTGATACATTGAAGGCAGTTCACTGTAATGTGGTTTTATGATTGAACCACCCTTAAAAGTTCAATCATAAAACATGTGGATTGAACCCTTAAATGTTCAATTATAAAACATAGGTGTAACGTAGCAAGAGTTTCTCTTATCACGAATTTTAAGTTTAGGTTCGGATTTTCAGCAGGCTGTCAAATGGGAATCTTAAATCAAGTTCAAATCGGATGGGAGGAAATAGTTGATTTTCACAATCAATTCTAATGGAGTCAAATTCGGTTGGAACAAGTTGGACGAGTTGATTTTAAAGTCAAATTTTAAATTAAAATAAATTTGGATCGAGTCAAACTCAAATTTGGACATATTGCTTGTAGAGCTTGGATTAACTGTCTATCATCATATATGTCCCAGTTAGTGGTATCCTGCTAAATGAAACAGCGGCAAATCGATCTATTAATTGAAATTGTTCACTCAAAAGAGTTTGATCTAGAGTTGGCAGAAAAGTCAGTGTACCAAAAAAAAAACAAAAAAACAAAAATGGTAGGGCATGGAATTCTCAAGGGGCCGCTGATCAAACATCCAAGACGCGGTGCCGACAATAAACCTTCAGCATCAGATTTGCTAACAACACCAAGGCAGCTACTCCTAACGCTTGTCGCTTGGAATGTTGAGGTCTTTAAATATGGGACTGTCAACTCCAACACCCATTGCATTCAGACCGTTATCAACATATATGACAGCACCTGTGATAGCTGAAGCCAAAGGTGAAGCCAAGAAGGCAGCAGTGTTCCCCACCTCATCTGTTTCATCAATTTCTTTAATTCAGTAATCATATGATCAATTAATTAAATAAAAAAAAATAATACATAACACTTAATATCTTATTAGTTCCTCCATATCACCTGCAGATAGTTCTTTCTGGAGAGGTGCATTGGCCATTGAATATTCGATCATCGTATCAATAAATCCGATTGCTTTTGCAGCACGACTTCTTAGTGGACCTGTTAACCAGAAACATAAAATTACGAAGAGGGTAGGGCAGCGCAAGAGATGTGAGCCTCCTAATTTAACTAAAGTTGCACCTAAAGTAATTTTCTAAAAGATGTGAGCCTGTAGTCTTTTTGACAGTATGTACCGGACCAAAGAATGTGGCCATGGGCTAATAAAAGTTTTATCAAAAAAGGCCATGATTCAAATTATGAAGTCTACTGCATATGGAGGAGGTTTCCCAGGATTATTGCTTCATTCTTATTCCTTCCTGATATGGAGCATCACTAACTTACTTCAAGAAAAGGGCATCAGGCCTGTAGTTGCAAATAAATATAAAGCTTACACGCAACAAATTCCACCATTTAAATTACATCAATATGAGATAACACGAGGTGTATAAAGGATAACCAAATATCTTCTAAAATTTTCACTTTGTTGATGTATTTCAAGGCCTGAATGAATTATCTCATGGCAACATCCAGGAATAAGCATTGGAATTACATGTCATGGTTCAGAAAAGGGCAACAATTCCCAGGCTATTCCTGAAAAGAAATGTCTCTCCTTTGATATTTAAAAAATGTTAACAAAATATAAGAGAAGAGTCCCTCTTACCAGCAGATATTGTGTTGACCCTAATTTTGTGTTTTCTTCCTGCTTCAAAAGCAAGTACCTGAAAATGAATAGAGAGAAACAAAAATATAACAAATTCAGGAAAACTGACCATGCAATCAAGCTAATACGTAGATAAGTATAAAACATATTAGAACTCACTTTTGTGTCACTTTCTAGAGCAGCTTTGGCAGAACTCATACCTCCACCATATCTGCATATCACATTGTTTGAGACTTCTGTCACCTAATGAGAAGTATTGACTAAGTTTTGGAATATTAAGCAAAAACACATACCCTGGAATAATACGCTCAGAAGCAATGTATGTAAGGGAAATTGAAGAGCTCCCTGCATCAGCGATAGCTTATTTTAGAAACAAGTTTCTGAGAATTAAGTTGAATTATTTGAAAAGAAATCAACTAACAGATACAACGACCAAAATGATAACTGAAACCTACAAAAGACATGCCTGGATTCATTAATGGGAGAAAATGCTTGAGTAAAGAAATGTAGGAGTAACTTGAAGCAGATAAAGCTGCAAGATATCCCTTCCGAGATGTCTCCAAAAGAGGTTTGCTGACCTATTAACAAATAATTGCTTGTTAAGAACAGAGAATAAAGCTGAAACCAATTAGCAATTGGAAGCTCAGAACTCCTGTACCTCTGGCCCATTAGCTAGTGAATGCACAAGAATGTCAATGCTCCCAAAATCGTGTTTAACAGATTCAGCAACTTCCTGCGACGCAAGAAGTAACATAACATCAAAATCATGAATGCATTGATAAATCTCATGCATTAAGTATTAAAAAATGCTTCTTGAAATGCATCAGGAATATTATCAGTTCCTATAACTGCAATAGACTAAAATTTACTTGTGATTTAAAATTTTAGGCTTTAAAAGTTCCTAAGATGAACTTCTAGCAGGTACGTCGGTACATACCTGAACAGTCCAATTTGAGGATCCTGCATAACGCTTATTTGTTTTTATCTGCACGAAACAACCAAGATCAAAAAAGTTTAAAAAGACAATTGAACTTGTCAGCAAGTAAAATCTCTAGAGAGTCCATAAACTTATCCATTACATCTTCAGGTACATCATCAGGGTTGTCAAAGACTGCATCTAGGGGATATACTTTGGTAATCTCCATTAAAGAGCCATCTGGCAATCTGAAATATCAACTTCGTCAGAAAAAGCCATTAATTCAGGAAGTATCCACTGTATTGTAACATATAACCAGCTCTTACAAGCGTGATTCATCAAACTTTCCACGTCGCAAGCTGGTTTCAAATATGTTCAAAGCCTACAAGGAAAACTTCGTTGTTAGCATGGTGCCATTTTTATCAGGACCTGCCAAAGCTTAGATAAGGTCTAATTTACTTACAGGCACCCAAGTTCCGACTAGTATTTGAGCACCTGCAGCAGCAAGAGATTTTGCTATTGCCCAGCCATAACCATTGTCATCGGCTACACCAGCAATAAATGCCCTCTTACCTGCAGAGAGCAGCAATCTTAATGTTTAAATTTTTTTAAAAAAATAATTGCCTTAAACTATTAAGGAATTCCGAAAAGAACATGCTGAAAGTCATTGACAGTAGCATTTCAGCTTGGTAAACACTAAACAGCATTACAGCCTAAAGAAAAACAATAGCAAAAAAAAGGTCAATAAGAGAAATGTAGTAGAGAGATCTTTCTTTGAAAAATATTTTCTACTAAAACTTTTATTAGAATAGGAGACATATCTAAGGTCAATTTAAGGAAATCAGACAGCAAGCTTATAAGCAACTAATACAAGAATACAGGCAGAAGTATTACAAGAAGCATGTCAAACCTTTCAAGTCAATTGGCAACCCAGAAATGGGCTTATTTTCACTAGATTCAGACATTGCATTTGTCACAACCTTGTTAAACTTTACTGGAGATGACATAAAACTGCGTCGGAAAGGCTCTAAAGATGATATGTTGCAAGCACTTGTTAGCTTAGTCCATGATACGCTTTTGGAATTGGCACCTAGAATGGCAGCACCTGCTTTAACAACTCTGGGAGAAGATGAAATACAGGGTCTTGCTGCTGCTATTTGAAGGCTGGAAGCTACTGTTGCAGCCATTCTCAAAAAGTGATATTTGACAGCAGAAACTGAAAATCTACCTAGACAAAAATGAATCAGGAGTTGCTCAAAACAAACACATATAGAGCATGCGTAATTGCAGAAATTATGCTTCATGAATATATTTCATTTTGCTTTTCTATTGTAGAATTACTCATCAACTAAACTGAAAATTCACCCATCCATCAGTATAGCCTATTTATTTCGCATAAATAAAGAAAACAAAATTTAGCTAAAACAAATGTTCTTCAATAAATATATAAAAAAATCCCCCCAAAATACAAATTCATCTGAAATTAACCAATTAAAGCTTCCATCATTTTACCTTAGGAAAACCCAGCATTCCTGACTTTGCATCTCTAAGAAACATAGGCATTCTACCACAACTTCAATATGAAACAACATTTGACATTCCCCACCACCCCCCCCCCCCCCCCCCCCAAAAAAAAAATAGCAAAACTGAAAAGAAACCCACATCAAAAGGACATGAAGGCTTTCACATTTTGAGTATCCATTGGGATATACAGCATAAAATGTTTATAGAGAAAGAGATAGTTACCTTTGAGAGGCAGAGAGAGCCAATGTGGAGAGTGAAGTGATAAAAAGAGAAGAAGAAATCTTGAGGGAGTTCGATGAGATCGAGGTGTTTCTACAAAGGATTTTGTTTCCTTCAAAGCGTCGACGGAAAAGGCGAAGGCATAGGCAAAAGGCAGATCAATCAACCAACAAAAAACAAATACTCAAAGTAGCTATTTGTGTTGGCTCTTCACTTACTGGTTAGGTTTCCTTTACAACTGCCCGCCTTTTCTTTTCTTTTTTCTTTTTTTTTTCCCTTTAATAACAGTTTTTTACTTTTAACAGTGAGAGCGAGCCATGACTCATGAAGTGAACAGAAAAGCTCGTTTCAAAAGGAGAATTTTTTTTTTTCTTTTAATTTTATTCGTGATCCCTACTCTTTTATATACATTTTAATTTATTTCAATTTTTAATTTTTGAATTATTTAATTTAATTATTTAATTTTTTATTAATAATTAAAAAATATCCACATAACATTACAACAATAATATGTACATGTCACAGAAATTACAAAATGAAATCTTAACAAAAAAATAAAAATAAAATCATTTTAGATTTAGTGACTTAAATTAAATAATTCATAAGTTAAAAATTAAATTGAAAACAAAATAAATTTAAGAGTCACGAACGAAATTTATCATTTCGCTTTAAACAAAAGCTTTTATGTAAAACAAGTTGAACAAAAATAAAATTTTTAAGTATTAATGAAAATTTTTTTGATCTTTCGAACATTTTAATAAGATATAAAATCGAATTTGATAAAATTAATAAACTCTTAAAGTTAAATCCGAAAATTAATCATTTTCATAAAAGTATATAATTTAGAGAAGGATAAGTTCATATTTATTACTATACTTAAACTAATTATCAAATTTATCATTTCATCTTGAACACTACATGTTTTTCTTATACTCTCAATTAAATAGTATTTTAGACTTTCAATTTTGCAACCCACAAACTAGGGCATAACCCATACACTTAAACGACTTAAATTTTAAACTTTAGTTGATTCAATCATAAGTAAATAACTTTACTTAGCTTGACTAACCATATTTTCTATTAATTTTGTTCTTAACTACTGACTTGCATTTTTTCAATATTATTTTCTTTCTAGATACTCAAGGCCTCATTTTAAAGGCTAGTAAAAAACAATTCTCAGCATGCCCAAGCCTCAAAATAGCATTGGATCCTTGCAGATATAGTGACCAAATGATATTTTGTGCAATGAAAATCTCTTCTTATCACACATCCAATTGAAGCATCAATTTATAAAATTTATTCATCATGAGTTAAACTCTCATATGAGAAAGAGGAGTGTGAATATTAGTTACATATGGTTTCATGCTTGTTAAAGTTACCATGGCTTTAACACGAGATATATTATGTCTCAGGGAAAAAAAAAAAAACTTATAAAACTTTTTTTCTTGATTGAGTTTGGACTCAACTTATAAAGCTTTTTTTTTTTTTTTTTATTGATTACTCAACTTATAAATCTTCATTTTGTAGTTAAGATACTAACCTATACAACTTTCTTTTTTTGGAGATATTTAGCCTATAAATCTTGGTTTTTTTGGTTGAGATGGTTATTTTGCATATATAAGATACAGCTTCCATTGTTTTCTTTTTGATTGAATAATCTATTTAATGAAAAATATTAATAACTTATTTTGATTAAGATACTTTTCCACTTTATTTAAAAAATAATAATTTTAACTTCATATTAACTAGGTAGTGTCTCGCATCTTGGTACAGTTCAACAATAAGAACAATTAAAAACATTAAAATATATTTGTATATACCTGTTTTATTAACTTATGAAATATTATTAAGCTTTCTAAAAACAAATATGAAAATTTGTCATGAACAATAAAAAAAAAAATGAATTGCAATAAATTGAGAATTTTGCAGCACAAATCAACAAATTCATAATCAAATTCTTTCAATACCTTTTGAATTTGTAAGTTAGGTCTTTTTAACTAATGGGTTTTGCAAAAAAAAATTGTAAATTAGTGAGCATATTTATCAATAAATCACAAGGGTTTAAATCAAATGATAAAAAAAAAACTTATAAATCAACAAATGTTTTTTTAAAGAAGCAAAATTTGGATAAAAACTTAAGAATAAATAAGAGATAATTTTTTTTTAAGGTTTTCTTAAAAAGACTTTTGGAAAATAACAATATTAAATAGATTGATAGAAAAATGATTAGATAAGAAAGAGGAAGAGATTTCATCATTTTTTGTTTTAATGAATTAAACTTTTCACTTCTTTTTCATTCAATGAAAGGATTAATTGTGATAATAGGGTGAAGAAACCAATAATTGTTGGAACTAAATATTTGTTGTTTTGAACATTCTCTTGAATACAGTCAAACAAATAAATTTTTTTTCTAAAAATAAAAAATAATTTATTTATAAAGTTAACACGTGACATCTTTTCAAAAAATTGTAGGTTCAAATAAAATTATGTTAGATTATTTTAATCAAAACATTAGCTGAAAGTATATCTTATCATTAAATTATACTTTATAATAATTAATTGAGCGATTAACTCATATTTTAATCAATTAAATTTAATTGGTTAATGTTTGTCTTATTGAAAATGGATCTCAACATAAGGAAGAGAATTTTAATTAATTCATTACTTATTATTAATCTATTCATGTGATTCTATTAATTTATCGATTTTGATTTTAATTTATATTAACTTTTATTAACAACGTTAGGGGAAACTTGACTTAAGTTTGCTCCTAAAAGGTACATGCCAAATCCAGCATTGTTGAAAAATAAGATGATATTAAAATCTAGATAAATAATCTGAGAGGCAACGCAAACCAAGTGAAAAGAAATTTAGGAATACAAACTTATATGATCCACGCATTATTGGGATATAAAAAATTTCATTAATAAGTATTTTTTTTCATATCAAGAATGTTTTCTTTTTATTTTTATCATTTAATCTTCGTTAAATTGAAAACATAACAAGACAAATTTTGGCTAAATAGTTAAAAATGCCCTAAACTATATATAAGTCAAAAATCATTTAAACCCCTAACATTTTGAGTCAATAGAACTCTTAAATTAATGGAATCTAGTCACATGATAAAATTTAATTAATTAACCCAAAAATTATAGTCAATTGAACTTTTAGAAAGATTTAGAGAGATAAAATAGAGAAGAAAAAGAAAAAAAATATTTTCTTAAAATTTTTTCATATATATTAATTGCAATATATGGCAAATTTTAATTTATTTTGTTGTTGTCAAATGAAATTTTATCTTTGTCAGCAAAAAATTACAGATTCTAATTCTTTCATTCAAATAAGAGATTAATTGGATACAAAATAGATGTTAGAAGAATTGATTGATTGTAATGAAAGATAAGAGTTTATATAATTTTTTAATTATAATTTAGGAGTTTTTTTTTTATTCTTTAACTTAAATTAAAAAAAAAAAAAGAGATAGCAAAGGAAAATAATTGTATTAGAAGTGAAACCAAAAAAAATTCGAGTTGTTTTAAGAGAGTAAGAAACTTTGTAAGTTAAAAGAGAAAAACAAAGTAAAATGACCTAAAACATTTAATAATAAAGTATACCATCTAAATTTAATCACTATAAGACATAAAATAAATAACAAAGTTAATATTTAGTAATACATATGTAATGTTTTAGGAAATGTACGACAACATGCATGAGACATACAAAATTGTTACAATGTATAATTAAGGTAGGACGGATTTAAGAATTATGTTTGTTTGTTGAGGACAAATTAATATATACAATATTATATATAAAAAAATATAAAATCCTATATATAAATCGATAATCACTAACATTGTTAAGTTTTGATTTTATTGTATTTTAATTTAAAAAATATCAATTTATTTTTGTTGTTTTTTTTCGTGTTATTGGCCTTTTTGAAAGCAATGTGTAATTTTTATTAAAAATTTTTTCAATGAATTTTATCAAAACCTTTTACAAAAATTAATATATTTTTATAATTTTAAAAACATTTTTAGACTATTTATCTTATTATGTCAAAGCCTTATTTTATTTTATTTTTTCTTTCTTACTTTTTTTATATTTAATAAATAATTTTCTAAATTTTTTTTGTAAGATTCCTTTGATATTATTGATTAAGAATATATATTTTTATACTTTTTTTCTTTTTTAAATTAGATAATTTTGTAAGAAAATAATATTAAGACATTCAAATTTAATTTTGTCAACCTTTTTTTTTTTTAAAGTTTTTATTTTTAAAAAAGTTCATGTTATAAATTTTGTAAGAACAATTCATCATTGCTAATATCATGTAACAACTCAACTTTTTTTTTTCTTTTACCTTTTTTTTGTTTTTGTTTTTATTTTTTTGTTTCTAATTAGATAAATAGTAAAACAAAAGAAATCGGTATATAAAATTTTTAAGATAAAAGTCAATTGAGGTATAGATAATAAAACAATTTGTATTTAATGAGATTTGGTTTGTTTAGATCCAATAGGTGCAATTTTTTTTTTTAATTTTTGGGATCGGATTGAGTTTTTTTTTTTTAAGTCAAAATTAAGCAAATGTGAGTTTAGAGTTTTTCGACCCATTCGATAGGGGTGTAAACAAATATAGTTTTTGACGAACCGTTCATAAATATGTTCGGTTTTTGTTTATTCTTTTAAACTTAACAGATTATTTTGAACAATATTTTTATGTTCGTTTATTAAATGAACTGAATACGAACAAAGATCAGCTTAGTTCGTTTATATTTATGAACAACTCATTTAAGATTTTTTTGTTCTTAATTTTATAATTATATTTTGTTTGTTTAAATTTTTTTATTATGATTTTTTTATTATTCATTAACATATTTATTTATATATATATATATATTCATGAATATATTTATTTAATATTCATGAATGAGTTCGTTTAATTTAAACAAATCGAACACAAATTGAATATAAACATTCTACCATTTAAACGAACCTAACTCAAACATGATGAATGATTTTCTTATTGAACACAAACAATTCTAAAAATTAATGAATAAATCATGGATATACGTTCGTTCATGTTTGATTTATTTACACCTTATCGTTTAGGTATATATAACTATATATTGTATTATTTTATTTAATTTTATATTTATATATATATGTATGATATTAATAAAGTTATTATTTTATCTTTT